CCGCAGAGAACAGCTGACCTGCGTGGGACAAGGTACAGACAGACATCTTCCTGTGCACGGTGCAGAGATCCACCAGCAGGCTTCCTGTCCTGCGTCCGCCTGGAGGAAAACAACACAGACCCTCGTGGGGTGGACATCCTCCATGTCAGCACCCAGGTGTCTGTTTTGCACAGGAAGCCCGGGGGGGACAGACAGCAGGCCGAGCACGACCAACAGAAGGGCGACACCTAAAACTGCGCGCATCAGACGCCGCGGTCACATGTCACCCCCCCCTAACAGTGTCATGGAGGGATCTCTACATAACATATCGTTTCCAGAGATACAAAATGTCCAACAAGACGGCTACATTGTATCTGTTACCTTGTACTCTGGGCACTGTGTAGCATCTCCTGCACCCACTTCCTGTCCACAGGCACTCTGCTCTCTCCTCCTGCGGGGTGTTACGGGCCTCTGTGTGGTCACCCTGAGGGTAGATCTCCGGCTCTGGGTTGTGGCCCCGTCCATGAGATAAGAGAATCATGTCCTCAGCATGGAGGGGCCACCAGAGACCTCGGCCTCCATTGTCCTGCCGAGGTCCCCGGGGTCAGGAGGTGCAGCGGATGCTGTGGGGGGTGTTACGGGCCTCTGTGTGGTCACCCTGAGGGTAGATCTCCGGCTCTGGGTTGTGGCCCCGTCCATGAGATAAGAGAATCATGTCCTCAGCATGGAGGGGCCACCAGAGACCTCGGCCTCCATTGTCCTGCCGAGGTCCCCGGGGTCAGGAGGTGCAGCGGATCTGTGGGGTGTTACGGGCCTCTGTGCGGTCACCCTGAGGGTAGATCTCCAGCTCTGGGTTGTGGCCCCGTCCATGAGATAAGAGAATCATCTCCTCAGCATGGAGAGGCCACCAGGGACCTCGGCCTCCATTGCCCTGCAGAGGTCCTCGGGGTCAGGAGGTGCAGCGGATGCTGTGGGGGGTGTTACGGGCCTCTGTGTGGTCACTCTGAGGGTAAATGTCTAGCTCTGGGTTGTGGCCCTGTTAATGAGATAAGAGAATCATCTACTCAGCATGGAGGGGCCACCAGGGACCTCGGCCTCCATTGCCCTGCAGAGGTCCTCGGGGTCAGGAGGTGCAGCGGATGCTGTGGGGGGTGTTACGGGCCTCTGTGTGGTCACTCTGAGGGTAAATGTCTAGCTCTGGGTTGTGGCCCTGTTAATGAGATAAGAGAATCATCTACTCAGCATGGAGGGGCCACCAGGGACCTCGGCCTCCATTGTCCTGCGGAGGTCCCCGGGGTCAGGAGGTGCAGCGGATGCTGAGGGGGGTGTTACGGGCCTCTGTGTGGGTCATAGAAGCACAGAATTTGGCACGCGCCGGGCCCGTCACCTGACATTAATAACGCAGCGCGGAGTTTGGCAGATCCCGGCGAGCGCTCCGAGCCAGGAAGGAAGAAAAATGTGGAGGACGCAGAGTACAAAAACAACAACGCAGGTCCAGGTGAGGGGAACGCACAACGCGAGCCAAGAGAGCGGCCGCACTGCAACCCGACTGGCGTCATCGCACTCTGCACGCGGCCCGGATGGCGTATACAGCGCAGGAAGCCACGGCAACTGTATACACCTCCTCGCCAGGGTACAGGAGATACGATAACAAAACGTGACCGCAGCGGGTTAATGCATTCTTCACTCCAGCCGTGCTACAACTACAAATCCCATCATGTGTCTGCCTCTGGGAGTCATGTCTGTGGCTGTCAGAGCCTTGCAATGCCTCATGGGACTTGTAGTTCCACAACAGCTGGAGGGCCGACCCCTTGTTACACCCGCAGGAAGGTGCCTGAACAAGGACTGAGCATTGTCACCCTATAACAGGAAGTGCCTGAACAAGGACAGAGCATTGTCAAGCTGATGGGAACGGTGAATAATGAGCATTCCTAACAGACCTCACCTGATGTATCTACAGAAGGATAATATGGGGAATGTCGGCCATCTTTGGTCAGGTGTTGGCCACCATTATCCCATAGGGCAACCTTGGCCCTCCAGCTGAGGTGAAACCACAAATCCCATCATGCCTCTGGAGGTCATACCCAAGTCTTGCAATGCCTCATGGGAGTTGTAGTTCCACCACAGCTGGAGGGTTGAGGTTGTCTTCTAGACGGACAGTGGGACATCTCCAGACCCATCGGCATGAATCGTCTCCAGGAGGATGAATAAACTACTGATCACATCTTCCCCCCCCCGGACAGCATTATAATCACAGCCTTATGATGATGTGTGAAAGTGTGAAAGGAGCCTGACACCCCGCAAGTCATCTGCCTGATACACGGGGCCCCGCACACACCAGGGGCCCCGCACACACAGACTCCATACATACACAATAAGGACAGACACTGAGAGTGGCCCCCGGCATGGTGCACGCAGAGATTGTGAGGTGTCCCCCATGAGATGTTTGTGTGGCAGTGTCACCCTCCCTGGGGGGGCCCGGGGCCCCCGATGTGAGCGGTGGGAAGTATTGGTGTGAATAGTCCCCTTATCAGGAGGAAGTGGAGGATTCTGGGACGTCCATTGTGTTCTCTGTTATTTCAGGAGCCGGCGGGGAAGTCTCAGGGGCCCCTCGTCCTGTTTCCCTTTCTCACACATTTCCCTGGTGGTGGCGGTGGAGGGGCCCCTGGGCTCTGCGTCTCAATCTGACAGGATGGACCTCTCAGCAGCCAGGGGCCCCAATTCTGGATGTAGTGTACTGGAAGTGCAGGGGCAATTCTGAGATTCCAGAAAATATCTCTCACTGCCAACCAGAGACTGTTAGAGAGAGACGCATGTAACAAGAGACTGTTAGAGAGAGACGCATGTAACAAGAGACTGTTAGAGAGAGACGCATGTAACAAGAGACTGTTAGAGAGAGACGCATGTAACAAGAGACTGTTAGAGAGAGAAGCATGAAACAGGAGACTGTTAGAGACGCATGTAACAGGAGACTGTTAGAGACGCATGTAACAGGAGACTGTTAGAGAGAGACACATGTAACAAGAGACTGTTAGAGAGAGACGCATGTAACAAGAGACTGTTAGAGAGAGAAGCATGAAACAGGAGACTGTTAGAGACGCATGTAACAGGAGACTGTTAGAGAGAGACGCATGTAACAAGAGACTGTTAGAGACGCATGTAACAGGAGACTGTTAGAGACGCATGTAACAGGAGACTGTTAGAGAGAGACACATGTAACAGGAGACTGTTAGAGAGAGACACATGTAACAGGAGACTGTTAGAGAGAGACGCATGTAACAGGAGACTGTTAGAAAGAGACGCATGTAACAGGAGACTGTTAGAGACGCATGTAACAGGAGACTGTTAGAGACGCATGTAACAGGAGACTGTTAGAGAGAGACGCATGTAACAGGAGACTGTTAGAGAGAGACGCATGTAACAGGAGACTGTTAGAGAGAGACGCATGTAACAGGAGACTGTTAGAGAGAGACGCATGTAACAGGAGACTGTTAGAGAGAGACGCATGTAACAGGAGACTGTTAGAGAGAGACGCATGTAACAGGAGACTGTTAGAGAGAGACGCATGTAACAGGAGACTGTTAGAGAGAGACGCATGTAACAGGAGACTGTTAGAGAGAGACGCATGTAACAGGAGACTGTTAGAGAGAGACGCATGTAACAGGAGACTGTTAGAGAGAGACGCATGTAACAGGAGACTGTTAGAGAGAGACGCATGTAACAGGAGACTGTTAGAGAGAGACGCATGTAACAGGAGACTGTTAGAGAGAGACGCATGTAACAGGAGACTGTTAGAGAGAGACGCATGTAACAGGAGACTGTTAGAGAGAGACGCATGTAACAAGAGACTGTTAGAGAGAGACGCATGTAACAAGAGACTGTTAGAGAGAGAAGCATGAAACAGGAGACTGTTAGAGACGCATGTAACAGGAGACTGTTAGAGACGCATGTAACAGGAGACTGTTAGAGACGCATGTAACAGGAGACTGTTAGAGAGAGACGCATGTAACAGGAGACTGTTAGAGAGAGACGCATGTAACAGGAGACTGTTAGAGAGAGACGCATGTAACAAGAGACTGTTAGAGAGAGACGCATGTAACAAGAGACTGTTAGAGAGAGAAGCATGAAACAGGAGACTGTTAGAGACGCATGTAACAGGAGACTGTTAGAGACGCATGTAACAGGAGACTGTTAGAGAGAGACACATGTAACAAGAGACTGTTAGAGAGAGAAGCATGAAACAGGAGACTGTTAGAGACGCATGTAACAGGAGACTGTTAGATAGAGACGCATGTAACAGGAGACTGTTAGAGAGAGACGCATGTAACAGGAGACTGTTAGAGACGCATGTAACAGGAGACTGTTAGAGACGCATGTAACAGGAGACTGTTAGAGAGAGACACATGTAACAAGAGACTGTTAGAGAGAGACACATGTAACAAGAGACTGTTAGAGAGAGAAGCATGAAACAGGAGACTGTTAGAGACGCATGTAACAGGAGACTGTTAGAGAGAGACGCATGTAACAGGAGACAGATAGAGACGCATGTAACAGGAGACTGTTAGAGACGCATGTAACAGGAGACTGTTAGAGACGCATGTAACAGGAGACTGTTAGAGACGCATGTAACAAGAGACTGTTGGAATGTCACAATGGACACCCCGCTCACGCTACAGTATGTGTTGTTGCTATATGAGGGTCTCCACATGCAGATGTTGTGTATATAATGCCAACTGTAGAAAGTGCGTCCCCATCCGTATAACGCAGTGCGGAGGATGTGAGTGACGTCTTTACACAGATCTACATCCTCCCCGGGACCCACACAGGGGGCAGAGACACAGGAAATACACTGCGACCCCTCCCCCCTCCACCATACCGGGACTGGACGCTGGATGGTGACTATGAGCACAAACCACTTCCTGTGTCACCGCGCCTCATACCCAGATATCTATAAATAGATCATGTGTGTCCCCCGTACCATGTGACACGCCCTCTGTGAGTGTGACTACACGCGGTGTCACTGTACATGGCATGTAGTCACCCACCTCACCACGTTACCCATATGGAATACACTCAGGCATGGCGACATATACAGAGGCAGCATGTACACACTATGAGAGCCTCCCATTCATCACAGCCCCGCCCACAAAGAACCACACACAGCGCCGCCCACAAAGAACCACACACACAGCCCCGCCCACAAAGAACAAACGTTTGGGAAAAACATCTCCATGGGGAGCGCACCGCGAGCAGAGCCACGCTGCTATAATATGCGCATCACAATCCAGAGGTCACATCCAGAACACGAGGCCGCATGGAGGAGGTGTTTGGATCCGGGGGGTTTAGTGACACGTTAAAGGACACAAGAACACGCATGGAGAAGCATGAGGCACATGTACCGGGGAATAGGTCTCAGCATGTGCCGGCTATTAATAGCTCCGAACCTTCTCACCGCAACATATAAAAACACCAACACTGGAAACACACTTCATTTTCCTGGCACTATCGCCCCCCTCCCCCAGCACTATCGCTCCCCCCCAGCACTATCGGCCTCATCTAAGAAGAGCTGATGCCCCTCGCAGCTTCTCCTGCCTATTATGTGTAATACAGACACTGCAGGAAGTGAGCATTGCAGGGCACCGGTCACGAGTCCGTGCTGAAGCCACCAGAGAAGTGGTCACCCATGGCAGCCTCGGTACTTCCTGCGGACGGGGGAACGTTACCTTGACATTTTCCTCGGAGATGCAGCAGTTCTCCGTCTTGTCGACAGCACTTTGCCGGATCCGGTGTAGAAACGCCTGCAACAGAGAAAAGAGATTGTCAGCTCCTGTGCACAGCCACCATCCTATCTACAGATAGTCATCATCGCTTCAACAACAACGTCTGCAGTCACATGCGTTTACTTCTAATAACCCAGCAAATCATTGTCAGCAATAAAGACTTTCTGACATTTGTATTGTTATAATTGACACCAACATATCCCTGCCGTAGTCCACTGATGGAGGAGGAAGTGTCCCCAAGGTGGCTGCACCAAATGATGGGGGAGGAACCGTCCTCAAGGTGGCCACACTCCATTAATAGAGAAGGCAGTGTCCAAAAGGTGGCCGTACTCCATTGATGGAGAAGGAAGTGCATTCATGGTGTCCCTACTACATTGATGGAGGAGGAAGTGTCCCCAAGGTGGCTGCACTACAATGATGGAGGAGGAAGTTTTCCCAAGGTGGCTGCACTTCATTGAAGAAGAAGTAGTCTACCTACTCCAATAATAGAGAAGGAAGTGTTCTCAAGGTGGCCGTACTCCATTGAAAGAGAAGACAATGTCCTCAAGGAAGCCGTACTCCGCAGATGATGAAGGAGGAAGTGTCCTCATGATGGCTGTACTCCATTGATGGAGGAGGAAGTGTCCTCAAAGTGGCCGTACTCTAATGATGGAGGAGGAAATGTCCTTGAGGTGGCCATACTCCACTGATGGAGAAGAAATGTCCTAAAGGAGACTGTACTCTATTGATGGAGAACGAAGTGTCTTCATGGTGTCCCTACTACAATGATGGAGAAGCAAATGTCCTCAAGGAAGCCGTACTCTGCTGATGATGAAGGAGTAAGTGTGCTCAAGGTGGCCCTACTCCATTGATGGAGGAGGAAGTGACCTCAAGGGGGCCGTACTATAATGATGGAGGAGGAAGTGTCCTCAAGGTGGCCGTACTCCATTGAAGGAGGAGTAGTCCTCAAGGTTGCCATACTCCATTGGTGTAGGAGGAAGTATCCTCGAGGTGGCCGTACTCCATTGATGAAGAAAGTGACCTCAAAGTGGACGTACTCTTATGATGATGGAGGAAGTATCCTCGAGGTGACCGTACTCCATTGATGGAGGAGGAGTAGTCCTCAAGGTGGCCGTACTCCATTGATGGAAGTCTCCTCAAGGTGGCACCATTCTGATTTCCTCTTGTAAGGTTCTCTTTGTAGTATTTGCTGTCAGTCTATCACCTTCCACATCACAGCTTTGTGTGTGATAAGTCACAGCAATATTGGGGAAGTGCGGCGCAGAATACATTTATTTATTTTGACAGCTTTATAAATAATTCCCAGTGAGCTACAAATCACCGAAATGTTTATGAAGAGAAACGCTGAGACGCACGGAGCCCGAGAAGCACAACGGAACGCACCACCAATCCTATCTCTCCTGCTCACCTTCTGCCATGGCACAGAACCTCTCCCTGGAGTGGCCGTACTCCATTGATGGAGGAGGAAGTGTCCTCAAGGTGGCCGTACTCCATTGATGGAGAAGGAGTAGTCCTCAAGGTGGCCGTACTCCATTGATGGAGGAGGAGTAGTCCTCAAGGTGGCCGTACTCCATTGATGGAGGAGTAGTCCTCAAGGTGGCCGTACTCCATTGATGGAGGAGGAGTAGTCCTCAAGGTGGCTGTAGTCTATTGATGGAGGAGGAAGTGCCCTCAAGGTGGCCGTAGTCTATTGATGGAGGAGGAGTAGTCCTCAAGGTGGCCGTAGTCTATTGATGGAGGAGGAAGTGTCCTCAAGGTGGCCGTAGTCTATTGATGGAGGAGGAAGTGTCCTCAAGGTGGCTGTACTCTATTGATGGAGACTCAAGGGGGCCGTAGTCTATTGATGGAGGAGGAAGTGTCCTCAAGGTGGCCGTAGTCTATTGATGGAGGAGGAAGTGTCCTCAAGGTGGCTGTACTCTATTGATGGAGGATGAAGTGTCCTCAAGGTGGCCGTACTCCATTGATGGAGGAGGAGTAGTCCTCAAGGTGGCCGTACTCCATTGATGGAGGAGGAGTAGTCCTCAAGGTGGCCGTACTCCATTGATGGAGGAGGAAGTGTCCTCACGGCGGCCGTATTCTATTGAGGGAATGGGGAAGTGCGGCGCAGAATACATTTATTTATTTTGACAGCTTTATAAATAATTCCCAGTGAGCTACAAATCACCGAAATGTTTATGAAGAGAAACGCTGAGACGCACGGAGCCCGAGAAGCACAACGGAACGCACCACCAATCCTATCTCTCCTGCTCACCTTCTGCCATGGCACAGAACCTCTCCCTGGAGTGGCCGTACTCCATTGATGGAGGATGAAGTGTCCTCAAGGTGGCCGTACTCCATTGATGGAGGAGGAGTAGTCCTCAAGGTGGCCGTACTCCATTGATGGAGGAGGAGTAGTCCTCAAGGTGGCCGTACTCCATTGATGGAGGAGGAAGTGTCCTCAAGGTGGCCGTACCCTATTGATGGAGGAGGAAGTGTCCTCAAGGTGGCCGTACTCCTTCTGCCATGGCACAGAACCTCTCCCGCAGTTCAGTGTGATACTCCGACGTCTGTACCTGCTTCAAACGATGTCTCCTGCTGTCTGTGACCATATTTACACGCAGACACATACATGAACATACAGTCAGGGGTGTATCTACCGCAAGGCAAACTAGGCATCATGCGCCGGACCTCCCTGGGAAACCGGCACCCAAATCTCTGACTTCAGGCAGCGGAGGAGCTTCCGCAAGACCCCAGGGCTGAGATCCAGAAGGTCATCGTGCTCATCGGCACCTCCGTGGTGGTGAGTCCGGGGGAGTGCGGCCTATAAGCTCCGTGCCGGGTTATGTCTCCAGAGCGGGGCAACCTACAGAGCCCGGCGGCCAATGCAGGAGATTGGTAACTGCCGAATTAGAGGGCCCAGCGTATGAAGGCAGAAGATTGGCGTTGCAGCTGCAGAACTAGAGAGACTACCGCAGCATGGCCGGGCAGGAGAGAACGGTTATTGTAGCTGCAGAACTAGGGAGCCCATCAAGCCAGGAATGGAGAAGGAGGCTATTGCAAAAGGTAGAACCAGAGCGTCACGCAACCTGTCAGAATCTAGGTACACCGCGCGCGCTGTATCGCGTGACTGTATCCCGCGACTGACAGGTTATGCAAAATGTCTAAACAGTAAGGGGCGGGACTAATTTAGGTTAAGGATGTGGGGGGGGGGGGGCTTGGGTTTAGTCTTGCCTAGGGGAGCACAAAACCAAAATACACCACTGCATGGAGTACATACATGAACACTGATTGGAGACGTGGGAGTGATTCGTTCTGGGTGAGAGTGTGGGGTGATTAGTGATCAGGCAAGTGATGCATTCTGGGTACTGGGGGAGGGGTCAGGGGGGGTCACAGGCTTTATTATTGGTGATTAATTAACTTCTTTTAAAGTGAAAGAACAATTATCACCTCTCATAGTGTGAATGGAGCAATGCGTCACCTCAGGCCACGGCGGAGCGCCGAGCAATACTCATTTACACCTAATAATCACCCTCCGATTATTTCGGAATACGAGGAGATTTGACCATATAATAATAACGTGCCATTAATAGGAGGAGCTCCATCATATAATAACGTGCCATTAATAGGAGGAGCTCCATCATATAATAACGTGCCATTAATAGGAGGAGCTCCATCATATAATAACGTGCCATTAATAGGAGGAGCTCCATCATATAATAACGTGCCATTAATAGGAGGAGCTCCATCATATAATAACGTGCCATTAATAGGAGGAGCTCCATCATATAATAACGTGCCATTAATAGGAGGAGCTCCATCATATAATAACGTGCCATTAATAGGAGGAGCTCCATCATATAATAACGTACCATTAATAGGAGGAGCTCGGCGGGTCACACATAACCTGGAAGAGTCACATTCATTTCATAAAACTAACCAGTGTGCTGGAGGATATTTTTGAGAAAAGTTCCTGAGAAAACTGTTGTTATATGTCATGCACAAAAGAAGAGGAGGGGAGCGGGGGTCTGCCAGGGAAGGGGAGCGGGGGTCTGCCAGGGAAGGGGAGCGGGGGTCTGCAAGGGAAAGGGATAAGGGGGTCTGCTTGGCTAAGGGGAGCGGAGGTCTGCCTGGGTAAGGGGAGCGGGGGTCTGAGATATTGAGGACTTTGGGTATCAGGATAAGATAACACAGGAGAGGGTGTGAGGAAGCTGAAGACACAGATCAGGAAGAAGCCGGACAGAGATCGGTGCGCTGACAAGGAACGCGGTGCCGGGACCGTCCCTCCTCTGTGTCATAATACCAAACCGTCATCCTGAACCGCACACAATACTTCCCCCTCACAGTGAAAGTCACATCATGTTCTTATAATATAAAGCTTTATTACCTGCACTGTGACACTGATATGGAGAGGGATGTGGTGTGTGTGGGTATGGATGAGGGGTATGTGGATGGTGATGAGGGGTATGTGGATGAGGGGTATGTGGATGAGGGGTATGTGGATGAGGGGCATGTGGATGAGGGGCATGTGGATGGGGATGAGGGTTATGGGGATGAGGGTTATGGGGATGAGGGGCATGTGGATGGGGATGAGGGGTATGTGGATGAGGGGTATGTGGATGAGGGG